ATTCCTGCTGACTTGGCTGACATTTGATCCATAGGTGGCTCACCTGGGTGCGACAAGAGCAGATTTATCAATCATTTTATGTCAAAGGAGCCAAGTGGAAAATTGTTGGCTGAACAGTGTCTTCACCTAATCAGCTGCAGAGTGAGAGAGATTTTTTAAACCCTCAGATTTTTTAACATACATCTATGGGTGGAATCTAAACACCTTTGAAGTGTGTACACACCCAGCAGGTGTGTTGTGCAAAGCCCTGCATGAATTGGGCTAATTTGGGCTAGTGATGTTGTGTAAATTAGCTCTATGTTGTGTTGCTTGCGTTGATGAATGCAGGAATGTAAATGCATGAGCTAACCATTTTTGTCTAAACTGTGAAGCAGCATTATATATGCATCATGTGCATGATTTTTCCATATATGGCATTAGTGGAAATATGCTTTTAGAGACTTTTTGGTTGATAAATACGTTTTGCTGTGTGAAAATCACACGCACCTGGTGCGTGCGTGTGTTTAGGTTAGTAAATCACCCCCCATGTATCCATTTTAGGGACAAGGCAGTCTGCTGCAAAACAGAAGTTCTGCCCAGCATGAGAACAGATACAGATTTAAAAGGAAGAGCAGCAAAGAGAAGGGAAACAACCATGGATTACAGTAAGGCACACATTACAGTATTGTTTTATGTTAAAAAATCTGAGGGTTTAATGTCACTTTAATGCAACCAATCAATTAGTTCAAAAAATAATCGGGCAACTAATTGATTATGAAAATAATCGTTAGCTGCAGCCCTAATGCCGAGCATTCCCAGACCTGGGTACTGTACCCAATAACTTTGTACATACACAAGGTCGGTGAAGCATTTGTGCTTGTGTATTCTGTTCTGCTAAAAAAAGAACAGGATCTGAAGCATCTAGATCAGGGGTAGTAAATAAAATTCAAGGATTAATAACATTTTCATTAGGGATGCACCAATACCAAGTACCGTACAAGTACAGATACTTTTCCAGCTCCAAGACTAGACTAGAGAAAAATTCAAAAGTTAGGAGGCAGCTGTCATTTGTATGGCGCATTCAGAGCTCCTGGGATTTGTACATCTCTGTTTTAATGTATGATTTTGTTTTTATAAATATATATTAGGAATGTACCGATACCATTCTTCCAAGTACAAGTACTGATATATTTTTGTTTATTGTCATGTGACAGTTTTTCTAAAACAATACAGACTAATGATTTCAGGAAAGTGGTGGAGCTCCAGAGCCAGGTCCCAGCTGCAACCACTGCAACCCTGGTAGTTCTCATGAAAATTTTTTTTTCTTTCTAGTCACTGAAAAATTGATATCACAAAGGGGCTAACAATCCCCTATGTGACAGCATTTGGGGGTGACGGGCCCTTTTTATGGAGATATCAGGGTTCAATTAGACCTCTGATGTCTCCCCTATACCTCCTAATACAGATCAACAAGCACATGAATACATTTGATGATCTGTATACCTGACACTTCAGCCGGCTTCTGACAGATGAACCATGAATAGCTGAGAGCAACGCTTCATGCTTACATTCCCTGGTCTGCTCCCACTCTCCATCCTGACACTGTGTGTTGTGGTCTCGGGACCCCCAGAGGAGCGCAGGATCCGAAGACCACAGTATGCGGGGTGCAGGGAGGCGGGTTGTGGCACGACCTTGGTTAACTTGTAGTTGAGCTGGCCCTGCCTGCCTGCCACCATTGGTTGCTAGAAAGTCAGCAGTCCTAGCAGCCAATGACTGGAGCGGAGGGAGGGCCTGCACTGGGTTATGGCTGGCAGTGGAAACACCGGCCTTGGAGGCCAGTGTATCCACTGTCAGCCAGCCTTAACCCAGAGCAGGTCAGCAGCCACGGTCCAGAGAAAAAAGTCCTTTACACAGGTTCCCTGGACTTTAATGAGCAGTTGACCCAAGGGTAGCTCCACTTTTTTTTTAAATCTGTAGACAGGCCTTAAAATTATAGTTATTGCATATAAGGGCACAAGGTATGCAAGGCACTGTTTATTTTTTATTTTTTTACTTTGATGGCAGCGTACACTGGCCTTTGTATACACCAGTGCGCTGTAGAAAAATGTTATATTCTGCATGGCACATCACACCAGTGTTGCGGTGAATGGGGCGCATAGAAAACAACTGTTTTCTGTGTGACCTGCAGGACAGCCGGCCATGGTCAGACATTCCTATGTGCTGGCAGAACATGTTTTTTTTTAACCCTCGCTGATAGAAAAAAAAATATATATATGCATTACAGTGCAGGCTCATTACAGTACAGAATGCGCAATCTGTTTCATTCTTTATTCTTAGAGCAATTTTGTGGTGTTCCCCCTGAGGTTCCCTGAAACCCAAAATGATTTCAAGGGTTCTTCTGGGGTAAAAAGGTTGAGAAAGAGTGATCTAGAGACTAGAAGCTAGTTTCTGTGAGGGCCCATTCACACTATTGTGCTTTAGTAACGCGCATTGGTGCAAAGCAGTTGGATGTGCGTTGCAGTGCAGTACAATGTGGAACAAAACACTAAACATGCATTGCGTTGTGCTACCACAAATGCTGCATGCACCTTTTTGCATTAGGCAACCCATTTAAATGAATGTGCTGCCTTTAAAACAAACCACGTTAATGCAGTGCAATAGTGTGAATTTGCCCACTATTACATCCTGTTACTTGAAGCCAGTGATTTATGTGACCCAATTAATCAAGGCTGTACTGTACTGTGTGGTTGGCTGTGTAGTCCGAGAGTTATGGAATGCAGCCATTTGCCCAATGTAGAAAATGTTCTAATTCTGTGTAATATTTTCCAGTAATATAACCGTTACATAACTCTGCCACGAGTGCCGGGTGGCATGGCCTCACATCGAGAAGGAATTTGCACTTTCCCAGTGAGCCATAAACATTTGTTTCAGGGCTAATCTGACCTTATTGCAGTGCTGTGTCATAGCACTGCTGGAAGATGAATAAATAGAGGTATTTTTTCACATGTTGTGCAGGGAAAAAGCTCAGGGGGATAGTCTTGAAAGTTGATAAGGTTATCAGCAGGGGGCCTCTGTTATGTTATCATTCCGAAGCACAAACAAGCAAAGGCAAGCGTGATTGTCCGTGAAGATGCGCAGTGGCCTAGTAATGATGGTTGCAATGTGCTTCTAATAAGATATTTGGATGTGCTTGTTTTCTTATTATGTTCACATAAAACTCATCTCCAGGCAGATAAAAAAAAAAACACCAATGATGTAGTTATGTATTTGTAAAAAAAAAGGCTTAATGTATGTTTAATGCAGCTAGCTTAAAGATGGCCATGCACTAAAATCTAACAGATTCCTCCATCCACGCTATACAGTATGGATCGGGAATTTCCCCCTGGTGTGCCACTGTCAGAAGCTGATTTACTGCAGTCCCTGTACATGCCTGGCTCCTTTGATTTTCAGATTGAAGGATATTGGGTGGCAGGATGCCGACTTGGTATCAGCTGCTTGTTAGTTCCTTGCATTCAGAGTGGTAGAGAGAGGTTCAGCCCTAGGAATCACTGAGGCCTGCTGCTGACAGGCAGCGATATATGACCTCACTTGTTGCTTTCTGCTGCTCCTTCACTGTCCAGACATAGGCTGATTCCATAGAGGTGAACGGACTGTATTGTATAACTGCAGACATGCAAATCCTTTGGAGTTCAGCTTTATGTGTTTTAGCCTGAATACCTAAAGGTCATTTTTGTGAAATTATTCTGCTGATATTGAATACAGATATAAAACCATTTTTAATGACACGCATTTCCATTTTTTGAGCCTTCAAAAGCCCTTAGAGATGGGATTAAATGCATTTGAGTTCTGATGTTTCTAATCAAATGTTTTCTTGTCTTGGGTCACTCAAAAACACATAACACAATGGTGGCTGCTTTATTTATATCCAAGAGGAATCTTTCCTCCTGAGTTAGGTTCTCCAAACTCTCCAACATGAACCTGATGAGATTCAGTTGCTTTTCCTAAAGGAAGCCAATTATAAAAAATTAAATCATAGGGTGCCTTTTGAAAATGCCAGTAGTCTCTTATACATGTATGCAGATCATGAGTTTTGACTTTTCTCTGACTTAACTAACTGTATGTTTATTCTGGGTAAGGGATTCAAACTCCATAGCCTGGCAACTAAGCTTTTACAATATGTCAGAAAGAAAAGTGGACAGTGGTTTTAACCCTTCCCAACTGATCCAAAATTTGAAACCGGTTTTGGCTGGAGTTGGTTGCCTGGCTGTTAATGCTGATTATGTATTAAACAGAACTCTGAACCACTGACCCAGAATACGCATGCAGCACATTAAAGTGATACCAAACTCAGGAGTTAAACCTTAAAAATGCATTCAAGTACCTTAACTATTAACAAAAATGTATCTTATTTGTGTAATACTCGGCTGTAAATCCTTAAATCATCTCTGAATTGATGCTGACACTGTCCTTCCTTCTGGAGGGTGGCTACTTTTGTTCTCAATGGCCCCTGATGTGTGTTGTAAAGTAGTAGTGACCACTCCAAGCTCACTCCTGTGATAGACTACAATTTCAATACAAATTAGTCAACTAAACGTGAGATTGTAGTCCATCATGAGAGTGAGCTTGGACCGGTGGCTACTTTACAACACACACAGGGACCATGGGGAACAAAAGTAGCCACCCTCCAGAAGGAAGGACAGTGTCAGCATCAATTCAGAGATTATTTCTCAAAATTGACTGCAAAGGTGGAAATACACTTTAAAGTAGATGTAAACCGTCTCTCTCTTTCCAACTAATACTTTTGGTTTCTACAACATCTCTGCACTTCTGCTGCATGCCAGAAGGTTTTCTGTGCATGGCCATTCAGTGCCAGGTTATCTACTGCGGAAGAAAGGGAAGGGACAAAGTTTTCAAACATCCTGATCCCCATCAATTGCAATGAAACAACGGTGTGGAACAATAATAAATAACAAGACAATGGATTTGTTTAAAAAGTCTTTGAATAAAGAAATTGTCTTTATTAATACATTATTATTTACTCTATAAAATTAATTTCTCCTTGGAGAAGACTTAACAATGAGCCAGGAAATGTTATAAAGTGGAAAATTCAGCCAGGAAGGTAATGGAGCTAGCAGGACAAAAAGGGGTTAAATGAGAGAGTCAGATCACAGGGACAAGTCCTAACAGGGTGACAGTGAAGGGAACAAGCATTTTGGCTGACACAGTCTTTATGATGTGGCTTCCAGACTGCAAGTTAGTGATGTCTCTGCCATGCTGATCCTGCTGGTTACGCATCTGCTTATTAAATGGAACATCATCCATGTCCATATCGTAGTCCGAATCTAAAAATCAAGAGGGAACATTGTAATTAACTTAAAACCCTAAATTAGATTAATTACATTTTAAATGTTACCTTCCTTGCATATTTATATAGCTTAAAGCACTCCAGTACAACAGAAAAACAGGAACTTCTAAAATCACTAAACGGAACCAATTAACACTTACCTCCATTTTGAGCATAGCATGCTATGTGAACCCTATGCTTCCTTGCACCACCGATCACATTTAAACTTTCAAGGCAGATTAAAATCTGAATGGTGGTTGTGAGGAGCTTGTGACTGGAGTTAATTATGTTAGGTTTTCAGTATGTGAGAGGCAGAAAGCAGGGTGTTCCAGTATTACAAGCACGCATGTTTCAGGATCATTTTAAAACAGGCAAAAGGGACTACAACAATAATTGAAGGATAACAAAGACTATGTTGGGGCTTTGCGTTTTCCTTTTGAGAGGAATGGGTTACATCCAGGTATACCTGCACTCAAATTGCCCATTGCTATATATGCTCCAAGATGGAGGCTCACATAGATTAGAAATAGGACCACACCACAGAGGGGCTTTGATGAGGCAGTGTGACATCCACCTATTTTGCAAAGGTTGTGCACCTGAAACCTCTGTTTTTAAGGCAAATTGTTTAGACATTGAAATTTGATTTTTGCAGGCTAGCTGGTAAGTGTGCTGGAAAATGTTTGTGTTTGTGCTATTGTCTGTGCAAACGACCCATCATTTGACCACATTGGCAGACTTTTTAAAGCACCCCATTACTACCTGCAGCCTTTTTTGTATTTCCTTTTTTTTCTAGATACAGGCCAATTTACTAAAGGAGTTGAAGCTTCACACAATAAATTGCGTTTGGCATTTGAAGTGAACAGGGATTTGCTTCTGACATGATTTGATAACTGAAGTGAATATTTACACAACCTATTGTCTGAAGATTTCTTAACTCCTTTAGCCCAAGAGCCTCTCTTTAAATATTAAGCAGCTAGTCAAAGATCCCTTTTAAACACGTAAAAGTTTAATTTTGAATTTGCCTGGAATATATCATTAAAACACTTTGTAATTTCCCTATAAAAACAATCTAACCTTGGTGGCGTGCAGTCATCAGTTTCTTGTTCACAAATTAAAAACAGTAGTAAAATGTGTTATTTTTGTCTTCCAAATGCAGCATAAACTGAATATCCTTGCTGTCAAGCCTCAGCCAAATGAGATCATATCTCTTATCTGTTAAACTAAACCATGAAAGGTTTAGATAACTATGATAAATGACTCGCTTATTGTATAAATAATTGTATTAATTTAATCTCCCTGGGCTGGGGAATGCCCGTAGAGTCTGTGTTTGGTAAGCTAAAAGAGTAGAGTTTTTCTTTTAGCATTCATGTAAGTGGAGAAAGGTCTGCCTGTCCATTAAAAACAGATTGATCTATTTAGGAGTGGTAAGCCTGAGGTTTAGGATATTATTTGGCAATGTGACAGGCCCAAGAATGGATCTTGTTCAGACATGTCCAATTCCCGCTTTTGTTTCAATTTCACTTATAGGCCACCTCCTACATTCCAATAAACTATGCGGGATAAAGATCTCTGGGTGTGCGGACTTTAAAACTGCTGCTAAAGTTTTTATGTAATTTACTGGCATAAGACATTTGAGAATTTGAGTTAAATATTTGGTTCATCTTAGAAAGACCATTTGTATTGTTCTATGCAACACACATAAAAATCAAACTGTAGCTCTGAAATTTTGGGGATGTTTTCCATTGGATGAACAATTTTTTGTTTGTGTGGGTGTGTATTTTTAATGTTAAAAAAACAACCTCACCTTTAGTGAAGTCCTTTTAATACAGCTTCCCATGGTGCAGCCTACCTGGGGTAATATTTATATTCCTTTCAGATCCTGCAATCCTTCCACTGAAATGGTCCTAACTAGCACCTCTTTGTTTTGCACATGCATGATGTGGCAAAGTTTATTCCTATGGGAAAGCTGTACTCAGAGATGCTGGACACCATTATTAAGATGGACTTTTACCCCTTTTTACTAAAAAAATCACATCAGCATGCAGCTTTGCATGCTGATTTAAAATCATCTTCCATTCACTAGTTAAACAAACTTGTCATTTACTTACAAATAGAGTTCATCTACTTCCTGATCCACTTCTGGCACAAATGATGTAATATGCCAAAGTGTTGCATCCTTATCAGAGCATTAATGTGAAATCTCATGAGATCTCAGGAAATTTTCCTCCCCTGAGATGATGTGCATGTCCTAGTCACATGTGCCAGAGTTCCAGGAAGTAACCGGGGAGCTAGTAACATGCCTTTTAGTTAACATGGCCACTGCCTGAAGACTGGATAGGAAAAGTGAAATAAGGTATGCAAAGAACACAAAGCCGGCAATTATCTAGAAGTATGTGTTTGTAGATTGTCATTACTGAACATTTCTAAAGGTGTCTTTGTTGTTATTTTAAAGATATGGGTACACATACGCAGAATAAAGATGAGTTGGCTTGCACCATGTGAAAGGAAAAATCCCTGGATCTTGGATGGATGAAGGTAATTATTATCACAGGTGGGGTGCACTGGTGGTGGGGGGATTCATTAAAGAACAACTTTACTGAAGGTACTGCTGCATGTGTATTTTCTTTTTTTTAAAAGAGACTGAGAAAGTTGTGCTTGTGCATAGGACATTGTAGGAAAGTGATGCTTCTACCGAGCAATGTGGTCCCAGTCACCTTAGGCCATACAGCCATACACAAGCACATCTCTTGCCAAGAGCATAGGGACGTGGAACATCTGCCAACCTTCACACGCATTATTTGAGCATCATGGCCTGGTTCAATCAATCTGATTGGTCTATGGAGCTAGGCAGGAGAGATGCACATCGGACACTTTTTACGTACTTGCTCCTTCTGGCTTATCAGAGAGAAAATAATACCCATTTGACAAAGTCCTTATAAACTGATTACTCCCTCTGGTGAGCATCAGACAGTTGTGTCTGAAGGTATCCTATAGACAGGATATTGACACAAAAATACCTGCATCCGGAGTCCTCTATTAGAACATTTAGACTAGATCTCATTCCCAACTGTGGTTTTGAATTAAACATCATTGGGTCTAATTAATGAAAGAATAACCTTATGTGGTACTCTTGTTACAATGCATATAAGGTTGGAAAAAAACAACAACAACTGATGGTTCATGTCTGAGTTGCTGTATGCTAAATTGCACATGCATTGTGGTGTTCACAATGAAAATAAAACCAATGGCACCACAGATGGTTTTGTGGTTACACATATGTGTAAATTGGCCCTAAAGGGTTTATCTCATGAATCTGCATTGCCAAATGCACCTTACAAAATGTACTTATTTATTTGTAGGTATGTAGGCAGGTTTTGCCCCTTTTAAAGTAAACATTTCCTGGGAGAAATACAGGCCACTGTTGCTGACTTTGCTACTTGCAAGGTTCTATGAGATGTCTAGTGAGGAGGAAAGAAATGAGGCTAATTTGAGGTGTAGCTAAAACCATTTTTCAAATACAGATTCATCAGAAAGACTTTTACATGGTTAAATGAAACATTTCACAGGAAGAAATAATGACTAAACGCCTATCTGATACTTATGTGTAAATTGAATCCTTTGATGAGAAAATTACTGTGAGACAAAATAGCGAGCACAGTTAAAACAACTCATCCACTTTCATGAAATGACCCCCATTCTATGTATTCATTGCATGCCTATTTAGGATAGTAAACAGCACGATAATTACATCTATAACCTGTCGGCAAACATGTGAAGCTGCTGTGTCAGAGCCATTGTTCTTCATGGGCTTTACATATGTACATTAGTTCAGACTCCAGGTACTTACTGATAAGATTATTTTCCAGGTTACAAAGTAACACTTGTATTAATAGTGTGAAAAAGAAAATTATCAGGTGTAAATGGCACTGTGACCTCTCAATTAAGAGGCGTCACAGTTTGATTATTCTATTGTAAACAAATCAGTGAGCTGGGAACCTTATTCTAATCAATTCACTGTGCTTCGTTTAATGCATTATTGTCCTTTGGAGGCCAGTGCAAAAGTTCCTCAGATTTGACAAACGGCAGAGAATTTCAAGTGAAACACTGCTATGTATGTTAACTGCTTTACTAGCCAAAGCAGTGACAGGACAAGGTCCTAAAGCATGAAGCGCAATTTTCGGACCAGCTCCTTCGACAGAAATCAATTAAAAAAATGTACTTTTGTCTAGCAACGGGCCACACACTGGTCGAATTTCACCCTGAGTCAGCTGAAATTTTACCAGTGTATGGCCAGCTTAAGAAACTATCTCCATAACTATATTTGAACACCATGAACTGGTTGGCTGCAATCAGGCAGAATAAGTGATTGCATGAGTTAGAAAACCTGTACCAAATGCTATTGTGCCCTCCTAGAAAGCTGAAACCTGCAGTGTCCTGCAGCATTCTCCTTTCATTCACACAGAGCTGGCAGAGCCGACCTTACAAGTTTAACTGTATAAGCACTTCTGTCTGCTCTCTATAGTTCTTGGGTAGTGTTAGACTCTACCATTCATATTCATGATGTACATATGACAATAACAGCGCCTGAAAGTCATTTGAAATATTAATCAGGCATGCTTTGCTGAAAAATAAACTGAAATTTAGGTGAAAATAATACACTGGCTACTGTTACGGGTTACAGCTCACCAAGAAAACCTTTTCATCATTAAACCTAACAGAGCAAAGCACAGAGCAATCAGGAATATATAAAGCGAGTTTAATGTTGGCTACACATTGGCCAATATTTCGCTCAGAACAACCGGTGATGATCAAACAGCCAGACTCATTGAAAACAGCTACTAGATGTTACATCGCCCATCTTCAAGATGTGGTGGGGGTCTGAGGATAGGGTTATTTATAGATGGAAGGGACCAACCCCAAACAGATTACAGGGCTTTTCTATAATATTTTTGTTTGTGATAATGAGCCTTTCTAATACATACAAAGTGTATGATACTT